TTTATAGGCTCAATGTGTTTGCCAATAATCTCGCTTAGCAAAGTTAACTGGCTCTCGCCCAACTTCAGCAGATATCAACAGAGATCTCCTCATTGCCAAGAGGCATCTGCAGCATCTGAGAAAAGAAGAACTGAAGGAGCTATTTCTGGAACTGGGACTCTTTGACGCAACAGTTCAGAACAATTTCGACAGAAGTCGAGACACTTACGCAGAGGATCTCATTCGCGCATGGATACTAGGAAAAGATGGAATCGGGACTAAAGAGGAGTACAAAGAAGGAGAAACGTGGGAAAACCTCAAGAAAGCTCTCAGGAAAATTAATCATCATGGAGTAGCTGATGCAATATGACTTGCTGTACACGAAGCATTGTATACTTGGTTTGAATCACCCATGTTGATCTCCCTTTTATATACCTGGTCATTATGTGTTGTTATCACTGAGAGTTTTCACTGCCACATGATCCCGTGTATTGGCTCATGTATTAGAGAGTCGGTAGACTCTCTATATGTGACCTGGCAAGCAAAAAGGGCCCTACTACGCTTTATTACATAACCGTGTAAAACGCGTAGTAAAGTTTACATGACATCATTTCCTAGCCACTTTTAGAATGCCACGAGCTTAGATCACATAATGTATAGTAAAGTATCCACAGCCACACCCTGCTTCAAGAACAAGGCGGTGAAAGTCGAAGTCCCACCCAGCGAGAAGACAGTCACTGTCGCTCCTTGTGGCCTTGTGGCCTTGGGATCGCCCTTCCTGAGGCACAGTGGTTTGAGCCTTGTGTTGTGTTCGAACCCCTACCAGCTGAGTTGCCCTAGTAGCTCAGTTGGTAGTATAGACTGCAGAGTGTCGTGGGTTCAAATCCCACTCAGGGCAACTCTTCTTCTTCTTTTCTTTGAAAATAAAGAACTGTCCTGGGTGTGGTTGACTTATTTGCCTTGCCTCCTCACTACCATGTTGTTGAGACATGCGCACACACTGCATACATTGATGTATAGCGTGATTTGTGTGTAGGCATGCGTACAGGAATTTCCACTGCATCAATGTACATAACTTGACCAGACCCCCAATTATAGGGTAAGTTATACAATTTTGCTCTATACTATTAGTGAGGCGAGTGATATGAGGCCACGAGCTGGTACCTTGGCTCGAAATCTTCCACTTCTCTGGGATACTGGCATCAGCAAATCCCTCTGCCTCTACCTCACTCCAAATGGGGAGCTCCACATCTACTTTGATGGGAAGCATATCAAGAAGATTGAGTCTGGTCTCCCAGTAGATGTGCCTCTATGGGGAGCGGTGGATGTCTCTGGTAGATGTGTGCAGATCAAATCTCAACTGCTTCTTAAACCACTGGAAGGAGAGGCAGGTGGGCAATTGTATTATGGTAAGCCCCGAAATTTAACCTGCAAAAAACGCTTTCCTCAACAACTTTCATGGTCCCAGTGTGTGTGTTTGTTTTCCATTATACTAGGCACCCTGCATAAAATGTGAGACAAAAAACTATGTGAGATTTTTTAATGTATACCAGGCTAGAGTAAAGTGAGCTTTATCCACAGCCACACCCACTACCCTTCATCATGCTGACGATGTCGCCCTTCCTCCAATGGACTGCTTCAAGAACAAGGCGGTGAAAGTCGAAGTCCCACCCAGCGAGAAGACAGTCACCATCGCTCCTCGTGGCCTCGGGATCGCCCTAAAGGTTCCTCCTGAGGCATTGCAGCAGACCGGCGCTCCTCCAACTTTTGCCTTCACAACATGCACACCCGAGTCCTTTGTCTATCCCGACGGCTACAAATCCCTCAGTCCAATCTACTACATTGCTTCCAACAAACCTCTCGAGGAAGAACTTGAAGTTTTACTGGAGCACAATGTGAATATCGAAAGCAGCGAGCAAGCAGAGGAAATGATCTTCTGCATTGCACAACCTCCCAGAAGACGGAAGTAAAGAGGTTCGGTTTATCCCAATACCAGCAGGAAAGTTTAACGTTGGGAGAGAGCATGGCAGCCTGATAACAAATCAATTGGGCTTTCTTAACGCTGGAACAAAAGCGACCGACACTTCAAAAATTGGTAGGGGTACTGTTCACTTAGGTGGTGCTTGTCAGTGACAATGCTGTTCATGTATACACTGTTGTACAGAAAACCGCTATGCTGTGATGTTCAGTTTCTCTAACGAAGATTGTAGCACACGACATGCTGGTATTTCAATGTCACTGGCAAACGAGGTCTACATGACGGTAATTTGGGTCTCAATTAATAATTGTGTGTCTGTTAACTGCCACCAAGGGGATTTGAACTCTATTTTAGTTCTGCATGCAACAACACAACTTGGAATGAGTTAGCTAGCTCTAGAAAAACTTGAAAGCACAAAGTTGCAATTTTTTCTCCAGAATTTCAGAGATTCATTGCAAGAGGAGTGGAAGACCTCAGTATCTCACAGATCAAGAGTTCCCGTTGTCTTTGAAGGTTCCAGTGCATGTGTGCTCCTTCCACAGAATTATGAAGGGTGGGAGATAACTGCAGACACTCAACATTGTGATGTGAGTGTGAATCTTTGTATATACCTCACAATGTGAATAACCAAATTTGACTTGTTTGTAGTTTCCTAAGGAGACATTGATTACGACGGTCGTGATGTCTGGCAAAAATGGACTACCCTCCTCGTTTACCTTCGCTATAAAGCTACCGGAAATGTCAAATCTGGACACTGCCGTTTGCTATAGTTGGTCTTACTGATGAGATTTGCTTTCAAATTCAGCTGAATCCAACTGCCCCGACTGTTGTAAACGACCAAGGTTAGTTTTGCAACGCAATTAATTTTAACTTTAAAAGCATTAATTTAGCCATAGAAAAGCCTGATCTGCTCACCTTGGATCGGTTGGGGGACATCAGAATCATGCAAGAAACTGCTCCCCACTATCGTGGCATTGGTACATTCTTACTCAAGGACAGGTATGGGCACCGCTTGCAAGCCATTGAAATGGACAGGAAAACTGCGGCCGATAAAATCAGGGAGGTATATGTAAAATGGCTGGAGGAAGACCCATACTGTTCGTGGGCAACTCTCTGTGAGTGTTTCAGAGAATGTAATCTTCATACACTCGCCCTAAAGATTGAAAACACACTTTCATATGGTTTCCCCGCCAACTTCACCAGCTGAAATTTATAGTACGTATAATATAGCTAATGATTGATTGCTATTGTTATTATAGGTCGTTACCCAATGAGTAATGCACCAATATCTCTCGGCTCATGGCTAGGTAAAATAATGTAAATATAGTAGCTAGCTGTGAAATAATTGGAGTTTAATGCTTGCAGGGGAGAGTCTACGTTCTTATTTCAGGAGGTAAAGAGATTCTTAATTAAGCCCATATTCCATACATATTATGTCCTTATCTTCATATTTTTTAGCTGAAGGTGTTGCAAGAATCCATTTCTAAGTTCTATCCATGTCATTTTCTAGCAGTTTTACTCTTTGTCTCACTGAACCTGTTTAGCAATAAAGTGCAAGCGCTCTGCGAACTGCGCATGCGCGGTACCGCTAATTGATGGGCTGGGCTAGGTCTCCAGCTGGTAGTAGCTCGCGGAGAGTCTGACACGGGCTAGCTACAGTAGTAGACAGCATGCGGGAGTCGATACACGCCCTTCGTTGTGACTTCTTGTACCTTCCAGAGCAAGCAGACCCGGCGAAGTTAATAAGCGCATGCGCGTTTTCCGCAGCGATATAGCCTACAATGGTGGAAGCGCTCTAGCTTTGCAACGGAGCGTTTTCAGAGAAAACCGTTCGAAATTTATGACCTTCATTGCCCGTTAAGTAGGTGGTATCCTTTGTGAGACGAACGAACACTCGAGAAGTGAGATGAGGAGTAACACACGCACACGCGTAACCCTAGCTGCGCATGCGCACCGAGGGTTATCTTGGTGTGCTCTCGGAGGGCGCATGCGCATGCACGGCCACCCGAATTACACCCCTACTACACAACCCTCCCTGTGGGGGCACAAAAAGCGGGCGACTCCAAGCTTGCGGCGACTCGTATCCACTTGGTTGCTTGACCTGTGGCTGCTAAAGTGGCTGCAACATGAGTTCCACCAGCGAAAGTGCGGAGCCCACGTCTCCACGTCTTTCTGCGCCGGACTTTAGTGATTGGTCCGTTCGGCCGATGCCACTTGACGCCGCTAAACACGGAGAGAGGGCGGTGTTTTGGGACAACTTCACGGTTTGCCGACCATCGTTGAACGGGAGAAGTATAAACGAGCACCAAGATGGCTGCATCGTATACACCAAAGATCCCATACCAATAGGCCACACCGAGCGCGTGGCGTATCACAGTGCTGGAAACTGCCAATTATGACACTGGGCTGGTAAGTCAAATCATGGCTAGCTAACTATTACCCCCTTCGTTTTATGCGTTAGGGTGCAAGCATAGATTGCAAGCAGTTTCGTACCGCCTGGCAGCCTTATGTAGACTAAGCAACTGGCTATTATGCAACTCCTGCAACCCCAGAGTTTGCCTGACCTAAGCTAACCACAAGTTAATCCTCTATCACAATCATGTAACCACATGAAGAAATTCACTACCAAACTTACACACTCTGATAAAAGGGGAACTTAGGGGAAGGCACATGTGTAGCTAGCTACATAGCAATTCTGAATGTCAAAATCTAGCTAATCAGCGATATCATATTTCGTTGTTGGTCGAACAGACAATAGGACTGACTCCTGCTCCACCTGACAAAGTGCCTCATACCCTTCCACTCCACGAAGACTTCTATTATGACATCATATACTCAAGGTAAAAGACCTTATATTAATTGTTGTAATCATGACAGAGTGGAAAGAGCGTCCAGTGCAAAATTACAAAAGTTTGGCCCAAAATGTAAGCTATACTGTCTAAACTTTGTGTTGCAACTTTGTTTCGTTACTGAATAGCTCCACAAATAGATTTCTGTATACACAATCTTATCAGTTTACTGTGCATGATATTATGTGTAAGTGGTATAAATTGTGCTGTTTTTCTAGCTGCAATGGCACATGATGCTGTATAATAGGATGTGTGTTGATCTTACAATTATTGTGCTTTCACCGATTACAGTGAGCCAGTTGATGGAAGGGTGCATGCAAACACCTTGGGTCGAAGTCAACGACTCTACTGGAATTTTCCCCAAAATAAATCCATTTGCCTCATCCTCACCGCTAAAGGAGACCTGCACATCTATTTCGATGAGAGGCACATTAGGAAGATTGCGTCTGGTCTCCCAGTAGACAGGCCTCTATGGGGAGCCGTAGAAGTGTCTGGAAAATTTTCACGGATCAAGTCTGAACTACTGAGTAAGCCACCCGACGGAAATGCAGGTGAGAATAACTGATCTGTAAAGCAACTCAATAAGTCTATGTAGATTGATTTCTACTACAGAACCCATCCCCTCTCCATTTACGAGCGTACACTGCATGCAGTGTTAGGCTGATATTATTGATGATTGTATGATACTCAGTTGTGTGTTACATTCAAGCACAAACGGGACATGTCCTGGATTATAATTTTGAAGATTACGGAATGAGTTCACTGAAAAAAACCTTACTTCTATCTTTTATATACAGCTGCCCCTGAGCCCCAGCATCAATCTATTGATGTCGCTCTTCCTCCATTGGATTGTTACAAGGAGAAGCGAGTGGTGAAAGTCGAAGTCCCACCCAGCAATAATACAGTCACTGTCGCTCCTCGTGACCTCGGGATCACCCTAAAGGTTCCTCCTAAGGCATTGCAGCAGACCGGCGCTCCTCCAACTTTTGCCTTCACAACATGCACACCCGAGTCCTTTGTCTATCCCGACGGCTACAAATCCCTCAGTCCAATCTACTACATTGCTTTCAACAATCCTCTCAAGAAAGAACTTGAAGTTTTACTGGAGCACAATGTGAATATCGAAAGCAGCGAGCAAGCGGAGGAAATGATTTTCTGCATTGCACAACCTCCAGAAGACGGAAGTAAAGAGGTTCGGTTTATCCCAATACCAGCAGGAAAGTTTAACGTTGGGAGAGAGCATGGCAGCCTGATAACAAATCAATTGGGCTTTCTTAACGCTGGAACAAAAGCGACCGACACTTCAAAAATTGGTAGGGGTACTGTTCACTTAGGTAGTGCTTTTCAGTGACAATGCTGTTCATGTATACACTGTTGTACAGAAAACCGCTATGCTGTGATGTTCAGTTTCTCTAACGAAGATTGTAGCACACGACATGCTGGTATTTCAATGTCACTGGCAAACGAGGTCTACATGACGGTAATTTGGGTCTCAATTAATAATTGTGTGTCTGTTAACTGCCACCAAGGGGATTTGAACTCTATTTTAGTTCTGCATGCAACAACACAACTTGGAATGAGTTAGCTAGCTCTAGAAAAACTTGAAAGCACAAAGTTGCAATTTTTTCTCCAGAATTTCAGAGATTCATTGGAAGAGGAGTGGAAGACCTCAGTATCTCACAGATCAAGAGTTCCCGTTGTCTTTGAAGGTTCCAGTGCATGTGTGCTCCTTCCACAGAATTATGAAGGGTGGGAGATAACTGCAGACACTCAACATTGTGATGTGAGTGTGAATCTTTATATATACCTCACAATGTGAATAACCAAATTTGACTTGTTTTTAGTTTCCTAAGGAGACCATTGATTACGACGGTCGTGATTGTCTGGCAAAAATGGACTACCCTCCTCGTCTTACCTTCACTATAAAAGCCACCGGAAATGCCAAGTCCTGTACACTGCCGTTTAAGGTAGTTGGTCTTACTGATGAGATTTACTTTAAACTTCAGCTGAATCCAACTGCTCTAAACAACCAAGGTCAGTTTTGCAACGCAATTAATTTTTAACTTTAAAAGCATTAATTTAGCCATAGAAAAGCCTGATCTGCTCACCCTGGATCGGTTGGGGGACATCAGAATCATGCAAGAAACTGCTCCCCACTATCGTAGCATTGGTACATTATTACTCAAGGACAGGTATGGGCACCGCTTGCAAGCCATTGACATGGACGAGAAAACTGCAGCTGATAAAATCAGGGAGGTATATGTAAAATGGCTGGAGGAAGACCCATACTCTTCGTGGGCAACTCTCTGTGAGTGTTTCAGAGAATGTAATCTTCATACACTTGCCAAGAAGATTGAAAGCCGCTTTCATATGGTTTCCCCACCAACTTCACCAGGTAAAATATATAGGGTGAAATTATATTACATAGCTAATGATAATTGCTATTGTTATTAACCCTCGGCACGCATGCGCAGCGAGGGTTACGGTAGTTGTCCCGTAAGTGTGTCTGTCTGTCTGTCAGTCAGTCTGTCTGTTACCACGTTTTCTGCCACCGCGCGCACGAAATCAGGTAAATAGCGATATGATCGGGTTCAGTGCTACACTGGGTTGATTTTTAAAAAGGTGATTTTTGTAAAACTACTATGTTTTAAAGTTATGGCGTGAAAACCAAGTGAACAAGCCAATATGTAAATTAGCACAGGCTTACCTCGACCGCGTCCGTTCGCTCTGTGTGTCTTGAAGGCACAACAAGTCACAACGAAGGGCATGTATCGACTCCCGCATGCTATTTACTACTGTAGCTAGCCCGTGCCAGACTCTCCGCGAGCTACTAGCGGGATACCACGAGTAAAGGCATAAAAAGCCCAGCCCATCAATTAGTGGTACCGCACATGCGCAGTTCGCCGAGGGTTTGCACTTTAGTGCTTTTCATTGAAAGAGTAGTGTTGTTGATTTGTTTCACCTTGCCTTAGGTTTAGCTACACCCCGAGATTCATTCAAGTATGCTTCGAGCTACAGTGACAGCTACTGTTTCTCCTCACAGGTCCTGAAAAGAAGACAAAACCAAGACGACAGAAAAAAGCCACCGCTGCTCCTCCTATATCAAGTATGTATTTTGATCTGTCACAGAAATTGTCAGTACTTTTAGAGAGAAAACTATACTCAAATTTCAATTAAGAGTGATTCCCTCTGTTTTTCAAATGCAGTCATAGGTGATCAACCAACCGACTGACTTTGATAAATTTTCCTTTATGAGTTGGAGCAAAAATAGGCCATGCAGGACCCTCACACCTTATCCAGCATTTTTTTCAACCTATTGAACCTAGTCTAATGAAAAGCACTGAAGTGCAAACCCTCGGCGTACTGCACATGCGCGGTACTGTTAATTGATGGGCTGGGCTATTAGTATGCGTTTACTCGTTGTCTTCACACTAGTAGCGCGCAGAGAGTCTGACACGGGCTAGCTACACTAGTAGATAGCGTGCGGAAGTCAATACTTGTGACTACTTGAGCCTCCAAGGTACACGGAGCAGATTAAGCCCTGTGCGATTATGCATTTTGGCTTTTTCGCTTGTTTTCACGGCATATCTCTCGAATGCAGTCGTTTCAGGAAAATCACCTAATAATTTTGCAGGCTCGGTTAGTTCTGAAGACGTTGGTATTGCTCACGGGCCGCCTCGTAGCCTGTAGTGCGAGAATGGCTGCTTATAGACAGACAGGCAGTCAAACGCACAGAACGACTACCGTAACCCTCGCTACGCATGCGCACCGAGGGTTAATAAAGTGATGTGTGTAGTCCACCCACTGAGGTCTCTAAATTTGCACAGCTCTTGCCTCCTCTACCACTGCCACCACTACTACCAACACTCCTGGTGAGTTCTGAGCTGATGTAATTATTAGATGACATTTCTAGCGAGTGGGAGCGATCCAACTACATACATACAGCCACTGGTGATCACGGGGAGGAGTATAGTTTGTCACATGGCCATCCTCCGCTGCTGGAGGTGTGCCTCTCGTGCGTGCGATGCCAACGAGAAGGGTGTGGTTTCCAGTCCTCAGCTGCTAGATGCTGCCTCCTGCGAGCTATGTCTCGTGCTGCTTGGCTGTTTCTGGAGCAAGTGCTGCCTCCTGCGAGCTCCCCTGTGGTAAAGGCGTAGTTGTGCTGGGATCGATGACAATACGTGTGGTCGCACACGTATTGTAAATGCATAGGATTGGACAAAGAGGACTGAATTCTATGGCTTTTGCCTTGGGAACTATACCAGTTTTAGTGGGTGGTTGGTTGTTTCTCAGTTCACTAATCACTTGTTGCCTAGAACAATAGAAAAGTGTATCATGTAGCACACTTCCTTATCAGGCAATTAGTGCAGCTGTCTGGCTGCGCCTGGACTGTCAAAACTGTTTAGGCAAACACACCTCATAATAGGCCTGCGTCGATTATTCTGGAATAATTTCGGGAATAATAGGTCCCTCTGGGAATAAGAATAATTCCCAGAATAATAGGTTGAAAGTTGCGACGAGCGGGCAACGGCGGCAACTCGCGGAAGGGCGAAGTGCGACTGCGAGTGCCGAGTGGACGCGCGTCACGCGCAGGAGTGGGTCAAAAGTTCAGAAACCACGTGAATAAAATGGCGTCGACTTTGTCCCAGCCTGGCAGCAGCACGGCCACCAACCAGTCAGAGGCGAGTGCTGCCGACGTCGACACTGCGGACACTAGCAGTAGCGAATCGGCTTTCCTGCTGAGTCTGCGTCAGCCTACTTCGTCGGATTTTGCCCGAAAACGACAACTACTCAAGAATCCTCCACCAGTAGGTAAACGAAGGGCTCGTGGGCATGGTGCGTTTGACCCTATCTCTGTTACCCGTCCCAACGTGTGAAAGAATTCCCAAATGAGAGCCTAACCCTATCTAACAAAAGGCTATTTTGTAATGCCTGTAGGGAGGAAGTGGGGTTGAAAAGTACCGTCGTGCGCAATCATGTGCGCTCAAATAAGCACGAGATGGGGAAAAATCGTTTGGCTAGAAAAGACGCTGTGGAAAGGGACATTGCACAAGCATTTAGAGCTGCCGAGGCTATTTCCGTTGTTTGTTAGAAGAGAATGCATTACGACTGGCTGACCGTCGTCAAATGGCCGACCTCATACCTTTTGTGTTATCACAAGAGCAAGAAAGTATAAAAAAGGAAATTTCTAACAAGTATTTGTCTGTTATATTCGACGGGACAACAAGGCTTGGGGAGGCTATGGCTATAGTGATGCGGTACATAGATGATGAATGGAGCATACAACAAAGGCTGATTTGCTTGAAACTACTTCAGAAGTCAATGACTGGGGAGGAAATAGCGCAAGTTGTCATGGACACACTATCTAGAGAATATGGTATTTTTCCTAATCGTCTTTTGGCATGCATGAGAGATCGGGCAGCGGTGAACAATGTGCTGTGCGGTTCATGAAAGTATTGTATAACAATCTACTAGATGTTGGGTGTTTCTCTCACACCCTGGATTTGGTGGGGGATAAGATTTGTGTTCCAACCCTTTCAGACTTCATGCTGTCGTGGTTAAGTCTTTTTAGCCATAGCACTAAGGCCAAGCTTCTTTGGAAGGAGAAAACTGGCAGGCCGATCCGAAGCTACTGTCCAACAAGATGGTGGTCAAAGTGGGAGTGCATGAAACAGGTTTTTGAACTTTTCCCTGATGTAGACAGCTTTGTTAAAAGCAATGATGAATTCTCACATACGACTCGATCAAAGTTGATTGCACTGCTGAACGACCAAGCAAAGAGGGTGATTCTAAAGGTAGAATTAGCTACAATAGTTGATTTTGGGCACCAATTTGTTACCACTACTTACAATTTGGAGGGTGATGGCCCGCTTGTGTTCCTCTGCTACGAGAGTATCTCTGCACTCACAGCAGCTTTGAATATTGCAAACTACCCCAACCTCAATGCACTCTCCAGAGAGCTAAGTTGTGGCAATGCAGTTACTGAGCAGCAATTGATAGCCTATGGAAAAGCCTGCATTAATCCAGCCATTCACTACTACCAACAGAGACTGAATGATTCAATGAAAATTCCACTCGAAGCGTTCAAAGCTGCCCGCCTCTTTGTCCCAGCTAAAGTTCAAGAAATGAACATTAATGCACAAGCTGTGGATAGTCTGAGTGTGTTTCCATTTTTTGACAATCTTGAACTTGAGCAACTTAAATCTGAGCTGCCAAACTACATTGCTGCATGTGAAGATGTCGATCCATCACATGACATTTTGACATTCTGGAAGAATCGTGCTAGATCATTACCTCATTGGTCAACGGCTGCTTCGAAAGTCGCAGTTGTGCAGCCGTCTTCGGCAGCAGCAGAGAGGGTATTTTCGATTCTCAAGCGATCTTTTAGTGACACTCAGTATGGGAGTCTCCAGGACTTGATCGAAACCTCAGTAATGTTGCAGTACAATGATCGTGATGTTTAATGTTATATTTATGTGCCTGCTCTGTAGTACTGTTTTTTTTTCATTTTTCAAGCGGAATAATAGGTAAATTTCTGTGAATAATGGGTAAACTTTAAAGAATAATAGGCATGCGGAGTAGGAAATTCAGAATAGAATATCCGGACAAATTGTGGGAATAATAGTCTCAGGCCTACCTCATAAGGAGCATCAAGTGTTTTTGGCTAATCAATGGCTGCCCAGGTAGTGCCACCAACGCTGCTCTGTCTATCTTGAAGGCACAAGAAGTCACAATGAAGGGCGTGTATTGACTCCCGCATGCTATCTACTACTGTAACTAGTCCGTGTCAGACTCTCTGCGAGCTACTAGTGTGGAGACCACGAGTAAACGGACACTAAAAGCACAGCCCATCAATTAGTGGTATAGCGCATGCGCAGTTTGCTGAGGGTTTGCACTTCAGTACTTTTCATTCTATTTCAGGACTCGCTACAGTTAAGGAACCGAGTTTTTCTCGAACACCTGCAATCGAAACATCTGAATTTAAATGTGATCGTGCAGCAGATGATGATTCCCTGGTCTACACTGGACGTGCATTTTCCTACGGTAGTACAACTGGTATCAGTTTATCTTTCCCAGCAGGAGAGTGTGAGAAACCTGTGGACATTTCAGTCCAAGTTGCCAATGACGACTACATCCTGCCATCGGGGTGTGACGAAATGCCAATAGTGAGTGATATGTACAAAATCACTGCAAGTGATGCATTCCTTGTTCCAGTGACTTTACGTATGAACCACTGTGCTGTAATGGAAGAGGAAGATTCTCTAGTTTTCATTGTAGCACATGGCTCCCCGCCACACCGATTCAACCTCTTGTATGGAGGCATTTTTCCTCCTGATGAAACGTATGGGGAAATAAAATTGAAAAACTTCAGTATTTTAGCAATACTTGCCCATAAATTGGGATGGAGAATGTCGCTATCCGTACAGGTATTTTATCACAAGAACAACACTGCTGCAACTTTTGTTGTCACAAAAAATACACCGTCACTCATTCAAGCTGTCAAAGAAGAGTATTCTGATGCTGTTCCAGGATCAAGCAACTCAATATTGTGCGACTACACCACAAGAGCAATTACCCTCTCAATACAAGCGAACCCACAGGCTGGATGGATTGTTGTACCGGATTTTGATCCTCCGCAGATTTTAACGCGACTAATTCAAGAATACAGGGAGGGGAAAACACCACCTTGCATACAATTGAATGTGAAATGGACAGGGCAAGGGAAACCAAAAGAAGAGGAACTGAAAATTAGAGTACACGGATGTTCAATTAAATCTTTCACCCTTTTCAGTAAGCATTTCATTCCATCATCTATAGCAACTCAGTTACAAAGCCAGCACCAACCACTAGTCCTTGGACTCCAGTCTACTGCTCCCCTGTCACCACTGTCTTCAAATGCCTCCTCTCCGCCTCGCACTCCAAGAGAATCACATGCATCCCTTGCACAACCAACAGCCATCCTTGTAAATGACCAAGGTTAGTTTTGCAACGCAATTAATTTTAACTATTAATTTAGCCATAGAAAAGCCTGTAATAATACGTAGTCGGCGGAAAATGCGCATGCGCATTATATTACTTGCAAATTTGCACAGGCTTACCTCGACTGGGTCCGCTCGCTCTGTGTACCTTGGAGGCACAATAACTTAGAAGTCACAACAGAGGACGTGTATCGACTCTCGTATGCTATCTACTACTGTAGCCAGACTCTCCATGAGCTACCAGCGAGAAACCGCGAGTAAATGCATACTAACAGCCCAGCCAAACAGCGGTAGACTATCTCGTATGCGCAGCTCGTCGAGCGTTTGCACTTCAGTGCTTTTCATTGTTCTTGCTCTGAAGCCATGCGTTCTTCACTGCACACTGCAGAAGCCACAATCTCAGAGGAACGGCCAGAGGAGAAAAGAGAGGCTGGTTTGGGCAGCCCTGATACCACCAGTGGTGACAGCAGTACACCCAAGCTTTCTCCCATGGCAGAAGAAAAAACTTCCATCCCTGTGTCCTCCAAGTTAAGACAAACAGGTAGTTCACGTGATAGCTCTAAGGACAAAGATACATGTTGCAACTTCTCAAATAGCCTAACGTCCTAAGGGGTTTGATAGTCTAGTTGCAGCAAAAAGGCATATCTGTTAGTATTGCTTTGTATGGACCATCATACCCATACATTTCGCTATTTACACATTCAGATCCGAAACGGCCACTGCGGGTTCTGATACGAAGGGCTGCAAAAGAAACTGAAAGGCACTAAAGTGCAAACCCTCGACGCAAAATGTGCACGTTTGTAGTTTTGTAAGTTAGGTGGGCTGGGCCATGCGTCGTCCGATGGAGCCAGTTGTCGCCTAACACAGGCTAGGCTACATCGTCTTGTCGCTTTATTTCTCATGATATTGTCTCTCAATGCAGTCGTTTCAGCCTTTTATTGTTCTTGATCTGAAACATCCACAAATTGCTCGTCAAACGTGAATTGCTGTGTTACATTGCGGACATACCTTGCTCAATTTGTTGTCCATCGAGAACAGATCAACACTGACTGAGGAGAGAAACTCAAGAACCGCTTGCTCGTCCAAGGTCAACGAAAACAACCACATAGCATCATCTCTCGAACGCAGTCGTTTCGGGAAAAACACCTTTTTATATTTAATCTTTTTGTAGCTCTGAAGCTGCAGGTATCGCTCATACGCCGCCTCGTAGCCTGTAGTGCGAGAACTCACGTGAACAGACGGACAGACAGACAGACCAAGTACCGTAACCCTCGCTGCGCATGCGCGCCGGGGGTTAATAAAGAAGACACCTCTGCTCCAAGCTTGAGTCCCCCTAAAACGTTTTATATTCAACACATTGGTATTCATTCACACTGTGTCCTTCGCCACTCTATTTTTCCCAGCAGGAAACCTAGTGACTACACCAAAGCTGCTTAACTTCAACCACCCACAGTTTTTAAACTTTGATACAACATCAGGTCAGTCTTTTTCACTGCATTCTGGCTGGATTTAAGTCGATCAATGCTATTTGTTTTTTATAGCTACTGAAGGAGAGAGAACTTTTGATGGATGTCTTCTTCCTGAATCTATGACTCTGTTGTCCACCTTATCTGACTGCACTAGTGAGGGAAGAAAGTTCACAGACGAGGCCAACGACTTCAGTCTGGACATCCCAGAGGGAGCCATTGCTGAGGGAGAGAGGCACACTGTTGACGTGGGAGCCGGTCTCTTTTGCCCATTCCAGTTCCCAGAAGGTCTGAGACCTGTGTCTCCCGTGTTCTGGGTCTGTGTCCGTGACAAGAAGAACTTCCAGTTCTCCAAACACGTCCCAGTCACCATCCCTCACTTCCTTAACCTTGAAAATGATGACGACGTCCAATCTCTGGGTCTTACATTTCTCAAAGCAGACCACGACAAGAACTCTGAGGGGCTGTATGAATTCAACCCAACAGATGGAGAGATGGACTTTCAAACTTTCAAATCACATGGAATTCTTCGAACATTGCATTTCTGTTCCCTTTGTATTGCCGCAAGAGACATACCAAAGAGCCTTGAAAAGGCATTGTTCTGCATTACTGCCGTTCTTCCACAATTCTCAATACCCGTCGGGAAAAGTATTAATTTATACTTTCTAATCACTTTTCTGAATTTAAAAACTTGCCTCAAGAAGGTAGACGATATAATAGCAACAATGGAGTTGGATGGACATAACACAAAACAGCTAAAATTTCAATTCAACACTAACACCAGAACTCCCGCACTAGAGATGGTTATAACACAACCAAAACACGGCAAAATTGGATTATCAGGAAACACAAAGGTATAATTATAATATAATATAGAAAGGTTTATAATAGTTGTAATTGTGACTGATACAGGTGTTTCGCAGTGAGGTGGATTTCTTTGTGAAAAGAAGGCTTTCAGAGGGAGAACTAAACACTTTGAAGAGTGATAAGTTCTACCCTCCACGATTTGAGGGCTACTTTGCTTCTTTCAGGGCGAATGCAACACTAGACGACGGCAAGATTGTCTTCAAAGGCGCCACCAGTGACATTGTGTACGACGTACACCTTGATTGTCCTACTGCCATTCCTGCTATTAAAGGTAAACTGTCTTGCTCTTACAACTTCTAAAATTCATATTATTTTACAGAAGCAGTGGATGTGAGTACACAGACCGAGAGCCAGCTCCTACTTGGTATGTGAGACACTTAGCTTTAAATTGTGGGATCAAAACCGCTTCTAGTTATGGT